CAGAGGGCTTGAAAAACACCAGCGGTGTTCATGATATTGTGTCACTCACAGCTTGGCGTGAAGCTTGATGGGAAAACCAGACAGTTTTTTCTCTCTCTCTTCTTTAGTAATGATAATTTTCCTGAGGAACATTCATTTCTCTCTCTTTCTGAATTAAGATTTATGGATGTTACTGTGTGTAATTTTATGCGTGTTAAAAATGGTTATACAGGATTGCATTCGCTTTGATCCTGAATATGTGACTCATGGGACTTTTAGTACATATTTAATCTACTTTTACAAGTGAGGGGTGTATAACGCTCCTATACTTTTTATATGAATGAGTAATGACCAAGGCAATGAAATAGGCGCTATACTGTTCAACATTCTATTGAGTACTGCAGAGATAATGAGTGCTTCAGATCGTTCACCTTCACCACACAAAGGCAGATACACAAATGAAAGAATAGTTGAACCGTCCCTTCTGGGCAAAATACCAGTACATAATCCATAATAATACTAAATGGTACTTGATCTGTACATATTTTGCTCCTGATTCAGACAAGATGACTTTTTCAATGAAGAAAGCAACAGTATGGCTAGATGTTTTAGCTGGAAGCAATGGTTTGAAGTAAAAAAAAAAAAGTGTTAATGAATTAGTTTCTTACAAGCACACAACTTTTCGTTTCACGAGATGTTAATTGATGCACTGTAGTCATATTGTGGATTATTGTGATGTTTTTATCATCCGTTTTGACTATTATTCTGACGGCACCCATTCACTGCAAAGGATACATTGAGCAAGCGATCTAATGCTACATTTCTCCAAATCTGTTCTGATGAAGAAACAAACTTTACATCTTGAAAATTGACATAATTTACTCACCCTCATGTCATTCTAAATCTGTATTGCATACTGTCTTATGTGTGACATAAAATAGATAAATAATAATAAACTGTATTTTCATATAATGAAAGTTAAAGGGGTGCAGAACAACCCCATTGATTTTAATTAGATGGACAAAAGAAAAAGAAAAAAAAAAGGAAATTTTTCAAAATATATTTTGAGTTCCACAGAAGAAATTAAGACGGCTTTAGATCAACATGAGGGTGAGTAAATTATGTCACAATGTAATGTTTATCTTTTAAGTGTCACAGTCTTCAGCGGGTGTGCCCAGGATGGCCACCAGATGACACTCTGTTCTGTGAGCACATGGCTTGTGTTGTGTTTGTTTGTTGCCATGTGCTCTCTCCTGTCTATTGTCTTGCCCCGCCCATCTTGTTACCTCATTATTGTTTAAGTTGCTCCACCTGTGTCTCCCTCGCTAGCTTCCTCATTTAGTTTCCTATTTATTCTCCTGGTGTCTGTAATCCTGGGCTGATCTGTCGTTTTTCATTGTGTGTGTTATGTCTGCATGTAGTGCAGTTCCTAGCCTGCCTGTCTGTTTTTCCCCCTCGGGGTTGTTTTAGTTTGTTTTTGTTTCATTTTATTATTAAAAGAAAGAACCATTCATCCTGCACTTGAGTCCTCGCTTCATCTCTCCACACGCACCGTGACATTAAGATGAAGAAATATATTCAGTCAGGTGTCCAAATGGTCCTGGGCTGTGTTTCTCAAAAGCATCGTAAGCTAAGTTGATCGTAGAGTCCATTGGTGGCAATGGTTCTACGATCTACTTAGGCTTACGATGCTTTTGGCAAACGCAGCTCTGACTGGTACTTTTTATACACCTGCCCATAGACCCAGATCAAGACCTTTCAATCATTATTTCCGATTTAATGCAACATTCCTGAAGGCATAACATGACCGGAAAAATAATGTTTGGCCTGAGAAAAAAGTTGAACATAATAAATTGTGAAAAGCTCCACATCAACCCTGCAGAATTTCAAATACACTGATCAGGCAGTCAAATTCATATCCAACTCCCATGCATGCTGAAACAGCCCTTTTGATATCCTCCTAGTCCAGTCTCCAATCATAAGGATAATTTCTAATGAATGCGTCTCTGTGGTTTGACCTCCAGTGGAAAGAGTTTGAATAAAGATGTTCCTTTTCATTTTCTGTAAATTTATATGCGTCTATTCAGCTGCGGTCTGGCACTTAAATTGGCCGCCTGTGGGCAGATGCAGCACATCTAACCCAAGCTCAAAGGTCCATTACAGATTCAAAGTGTTATCCCGGTGGAAAATTTAGAAGTTCTAAATTTCGACTGCCCTTTTGATATCCTCCTAGTCCAGTCTCCAATGATAAGGATAATTTCTAATGAATGCGTCTCTGTGGTTTGACCTCCAGTGGAAAGAGTTTGAATAAAGATGTTCCTTTTCATTTTCTGTACATTTATATGCGTCTATTCAGCTGCGGTCTGGCACTTAAATTGGCCGCCTGTGGGCAGATGCAGCACGTCTAACCCAAGCTCAAAGGTCCATTACAGATTCAGATGTTATCCCGGTGGAAAATTTAGAAGTTCTAAATTTCGACTGAGGTGTGAGTTTTATCATGCTCATAGGCGATGAACTGTAGGGGTGCACAGAGTGGTGTGCAAATACGCGCATCAACACTGTCAGCTTTAGCTCACGGGACTGAAATAGATGTGACTGGTAACCATGGTGACACAGAAGCCTGTCATATTTTGGCGCCATTTCTCTAACAGCCCGAGGCAGGGAAATGCTCTGAACAAAAGTCACTAAAATGACTACGATGGTGTTGAACACTACTATTCTGGTTCATTCTGTTTCAAACAAGGTTCATGGTCACAGTACAGAATGCTTAAATTAGGGAATCCTTTTTAGCTTTGGAAATGACTTAAGTTTAGCATGGTGTGGTTTTGTGTGAAAGCGAGTGTGGGTTGCCCATGACATTCCTAAAGTAGATTTGCTTTTCCTAAAGGAAATATAACTTTTCTTTTGCTGCCTTGCAAGCACTGCTGCTGTGAAATTGAAATGCTGTATCACAGCCACTTTGATGGTGAGTGAAAAGGTGGCTTGTTAGCCTCAGAAGGTTGATTTTTTTTTTTTGTTATGAACAGTTTTATTTTCTATTTATTTTCTATTTGCATGTATGTCAACCCTGTTGATATACACTGAGCAAGAATAGCTAAAAGTAACAGGGTTTAAATGTGGCCTTAATTATTCTGTCACTTGATTGGAACCACATTTTTAGTGATAAAAAGATTTTTAATTTATTTATTTACAATTTAACTTTGATAACAAGTTGAAGGGTTAAACTCGATGAATACACTACAAATTGTGCAGATTTGTGCAAAAATGGGAATAAATTTGCCTTGATTTCTTGCCATGTAGTAGAAAGTGTCCAGAATATGTTACTACTTGGATATCACAACATTAGGATTTTTTTAAATGCAGTAAAAGGATTGGATGTAAAATGTGGGACACTGTTAAATATTACATTTTATCCTTAAAATTAGTCTATTCTGTGTTTTTAGTAAAATGCTGTTCATTTTATTTATTTATCTTTTTAGAAGTTTGATCTAACATATCTAAACAATCTCACAAACAAAAAATAAAACAAACATTGTTTTTGTTTTGTTTTCCATGCTACACCAAAGTTCACAGTATTCTTGGGAAGTGTCATAGATAAGAAATACAAGAAAGACGACCAATCGCAAATCAGTATGCAAATATTACAATTATTTTGAATGGGGAGATTCAAACATACATCTTCTTTTCTAGCAGGCTACAACTTAAAACGAAAAACAAAGTTTAAACAGAATGTGCATTCTGTGAATGCATTTGAGCTGAATTGCAGAAAACTGTATAGAAGGAGGAGAGTATCAATACAGTTCTGCATTTCAAGCAGTGTAATAAAGGGGAAGAGAGAGAGAAAAAAATCCCATAAACAATGAAAATTGTCTATAAGCACTTGAATCGCGTTGCCAATAATCAATAACGCGGCAGTGCAACTGTGGCTGGTTGCTGTCCCTGGTGCTGAAGAGAAAACCCAACAAGCCTTGAGATCATAACTCTTTTTCTCTCGCACAGCATTTAATCTGTGATACGTCTACGTGACTAATTTGGAAGGCAATAGAGAAGAGGAAGGCCATGCGCCAGGAAATTCATCACGGGGACGCGCACACAAACACGCATGGCGCTCTGAGCTGCCGCAGCTGTTTTGGTTCACTGGTTGAAATCATTTTTTGGCGAAGTCAGTTTTGTCAGAAGCTGCGCCGACTGGGGTATTATTTCAAAAAATGACAGTCCTGAAGTTCAGAAATTTTACGTTTTTCTCAACAAGTAAATAGAATGAAATCTGATTATTATTTCATATTTCAGTCAAGCTATTTTGTTTTAAATATGTATATTTGGAAACATTTGTACGTCAAAACGATTATGGATTAAATATGTCGTTTTATTCATTACAGTCGACGCAGTTCCTGACAGAATTGGCACGGCTGTATATATGTAACTAAAATAAAGAAATTGCCATGTGCAGCATTTCTCCTTTTCAGCCATCCTTATTTGTCACTGACCCATGTATAGAGAGCTGCATCACATATAATCGCATTTGGAGTTTGCTGATTGTGTTTGTCACAGCAAGAGACCTTCACATGACTCGAATCCATTCGCTCTTACAGGTCTGATCTTCCTTCACCTCTGAAAACTGTCTCCATCTAGCGGCTTCCCCCCCTGCACATCTGTCAGTGCTGAATGTGAGTCAATAACCTGAGACGTGAAAATATCCGCAACGCTTTCCCTCAATCTCTCAGCTCACGGTTCAGCACTTCACTGAATTCCAGCGAAACCTTGATTAACAATATTTCAAAGAATACCGTTGAATAACTTTACACAGTTCGCTATATAGGACGTTCGTTTCATTTATGACACAATACAAAATAAGCATTTAAACGTACCACTTCTTATGGTACATTATGCACCATTCATACGGGCTGTGTTACATTCGTATGTGTTAACTGATGCCCGTAGCACGTGACACGCCTCCAATGCGCGGTGAGCAGAAGCAACTTGGGCTCCACCGCAGACTCACAGATCTTCGTCGGTAGCGGATGAAGCAACTTCCAGCGAATCATTTGTTGTGGGTTCACTTTTGTTCGGGTTGCAGACAGACCCTGCGAAGCTGTTCTTGGGTCGTTGGATTACAGTTAAGAGGACAGGAAAGTGCAATTTTCTGCTTTTAAAACACAGAACGCGAACTAGCCAAGGTGGTCTTCTCTTCCTATGAAACGACCACTGTGGCAGGTTTCTCTAAGAGCATCAGTGTCAAACACAGAAGCTGTGGACGATAAATAGGATGTCCTTGGACAACGTGAATCATCTACCTGACTTCTAAACTTGTTGCATTTGCTCTATAACTCCTCCGGGTGCGCGTTTCGGATACTTTGTGCGTAACTGCGGAACCGCTATTCAAAGTGGACTATAACTGATGAGCTGTGTGTAAAAACCTGCACTTTTACATAAATATCCATTTATGAGGAGGTAAGTTATTTATCTTGCTCTTGAGCAATAGGTTACACTGTAAAAAAAATAGATGCATTGCATCCTCAGCCATTCGTGTTTAACCGAAAAGCTGTTTCTTACTCACGCATAGTGCATACATTCTGTACACCACCATTCATTTCTACGCTCACTGTAATTCCACCTTGCCATTCGAATGCTTTGATCTTGATAAATAATATGACTCATTATGCAGTATTCTCCTGCACGTGAGCAATAGCCTTCCTTGAACTTTACATCAAGTGATTGCGCATTGTGTCTGTCCAGATGTCCTTTCTGCGGGTGGCGGATTTGTGAGAGCAAAACCTGCGTCAATCGCACCGGGTCGCGCACATTGGGTCAGCATGGCAGCCGGAGTCGCCGCTTGGCTACCGTTTGCGCGCGCCGCGGCCATAGGATGGATGCCCGTAGCGAGTGCCCCGATGCCGCCGCCTCCACGGGAAAAGAGGCGAGGTCAGGACGGTCTGATCATCTTGAACGTCAGCGGCACAAGGTTTCAAACTTGGCGGAATACTTTGGAGAGGTACCCCGACACCTTACTGGGAAGCACAGAGCGCGACTTCTTCTTCCACGAGGAGACCAACGAGTACTTTTTCGACCGCGACCCGGACATTTTTAGGCACATCCTCAACTTCTACCGAACCGGGAAGCTGCACTACCCTCGCCACGAGTGCATCTCCGCCTATGACGAGGAGCTGGCCTTCTTCGGCATAATTCCTGAGATAATAGGGGACTGCTGTTATGAGGAGTACAAAGATCGCAGGAGGGAGAACGCGGAGAGAATTCAAGACGATGAGGAGAACGAAAACAACAACGATTTGGTGCTGCCGGAAATGTCGTTCCGCGAGTCCATGTGGCGCGCGTTTGAGAACCCGCACACGAGCACCATGGCGCTTGTGTTTTATTACGTCACGGGCTTTTTCATCGCCGTCTCCGTTATGGCCAACGTAGTGGAGACTGTCCCGTGCATCAGCGGGCCAAACCGGGCGAAGGAGGTCTCGTGCGGGGAGCGCTACGCCCTCGCGTTCTTCTGCTTGGATACGGCCTGCGTCATGATCTTCACCGTCGAGTACCTGCTGCGTCTTATCGCTGCGCCCAGCAGGTACAAGTTCGTCAAAAGTGTCATGAGCATAATTGACGTGGTGGCCATCATGCCTTACTACATCGGCTTGGTTATGACTGACAACGAGGACGTGAGCGGGGCCTTCGTCACCCTCAGGGTCTTCAGGGTCTTTCGGATTTTCAAATTTTCGCGGCACTCCGCGGGACTGCGCATCCTGGGGTACACGCTCAAGAGCTGCGCGTCCGAGCTGGGCTTCCTGCTCTTCTCGCTCACCATGGCCATCATCATCTTCGCCACCGTCATGTTCTACGCGGAGAAGAGCTCATCCGCCAGCAAGTTCACCAGCATACCGGCGGCTTTCTGGTACACCATCGTCACCATGACAACGCTGGGGTGAGTCGATGTTGTTGTGATGCGCAAACTTATTGAATGAGCTTGCGCGTATGATCTGCTGTCATTACTGCTTCAAAGCAGCCCTTTTACACCAACGCGTCCTGAAAAGTTGAGAGCTGGCGGCAGGGGGAGATCAATAAAACTGATATCAATCTAAGAAATAGACTCCTCCTCTCTCTCTTTCCCTCTCTCTCTCTCTATCTGGCCCGTGAGTCAGGGGCTATCCATTACTGTCTCATTGCTTGAAAAGACAAAACCTATCAAGCTATTTCATTTAAATTTTGTTCTGCAATATGCATTCACATCCTTATATGAAATAAAAACATATAAACTATATTATAAATATAAAAGGTAATTCATATTATTTGAAAAAAGACTTATATTTAGAACTTTTGTATATTTTTATATATTTTATTCTATTTTATGTTGTAGTTTTTAAATGTATAATATAACATATTTTATAGTTTTTTTTATTAATAAAATATTTATAATAATTTCAATATAAAATATTAAAACTTTAAGCAAAATGTTACCTGAATACACTAGTGAGTGAAATGATTAAAGCATTGGCTGTGTAGTTCATATATAAATTTGCTGTGACTGTGTGAATGTCAGTAACAATGCTTTTGAATCTTTTTCTGACAGTTTAGGAATTGAGGAATACAGTTTTAGAGTTACTTCTCCCTTTATATCTCTGAATGTAATCACTGTAAAGGAGAAAGTGTGCTTCTGTCATATAACACCTCACCAGTGTCAGATTGAGCACAGACTCTTCCTTCCTTTGGAAGCCTTGCTTGTTTATAACTAACCGTCTCAAAGCACCTGTGGCACAATGTTGTAATTTTCACACAGTAAGTGAACATACTGAGAGACATAGCTGATTCATGTGACGTTAAGCACTGAAGGCGATTACAATAATGCATTCCCTATTGATGTGTTATTCATTCATTAATCCCATCACTCAACACCTCAGCATGGCTTCTCCAAGCCTCCCACCTGTGCAGAGCAGGCGCTTTCCGTGGTGCTGAATCTGCCCGCCACATGTTGCAGTCGCCCCACAGCTGCACTTTGTTGCTCAGGAGACAACCGATTCTTTGCTGGCAGGTCGACATGGTCCTGAGTCACACTCGAGGGGATTAATCAAGCCCTATGCTCCAGTACACATCCCGCGCTTTGATCGGCACACCTTTGAAGTGCAGTACTCTGAGTGTGTCATAACTTGGGCTGTGAGTTTTAATCTGACGCCTGTGCCTGGCTGATATGATGCACCTTTCAGACATAAATGTGTTTGGTTTTGGAGTGTTTTTAGTATTAAATTGGGTTTTTAAGACTTGTTTTATAGTCCAGTTCAACAATGTTTGGTTCACAGCATCTGTCTGCTTCTTTATATATATGAATTAAAGTCTGAGTATGGTCTTTGATGTACTGAATGTGACTAATGTTGTCTTTGACACAAGAAATGTCAGGCCTCCTCCTTTAGACTCCATGAACCTTTAATAATAAGAAAATGAGGTTGTCAGAGCTGTGGCACGATGGATAATGCATGTCCTCATGATATATAAAAAGTTATGGCTCACAGAGTTCGAATCATTCTCATTCCCCTTCTACTTTCCTGTCAGGTCTGCATTGTCCTATAAAGAAAATATGAGGTTTGGAGACAGCAGGAGCGAAAGCAGAAAAAAAGAGATCCTGTGTGAGCGAGAGAAAGAGAGAGTTTCGTTTCAGAGCATATCGGCACATCTTATTGTGTGCAATTTGTGTCCTGCCATTTCTTGCCTGTCAAATTGGATGAAATCAATGATAAAATGAAATTACAGGCAAACGCTCAGCACCGGCTTGATGTTGGGAGTGCTGTGTGTGTGTTAGGGAGAGATGATCACTTGTCGGAGCCAGCTGGTTATGAACCATGTCTTCCAAACAGATCCACAGCTGCAGGGCTTCAGTGATGCAGCCCATATATTCATCTCCTCTCTCTGCAGGCAGGCATGCTGTTCCTCATTTCAGATTTTATTGCATTGCCTCAGTGAGCCCTTCAAGATGAGCACTCGGGGGGGTAGTCGCTACAGCAGAGATCTGACCTGGTAAAGTCAAGTTCACCCTGTGACGAGCAATAGCCAAAGATTGGGATTTGAAATTGGGGCTATGTCTTCAGACTATTTCATGATTGAGTGGCTACATTTTGATCTGAAAGAAAAGTTTCGCATTGTAGATGTCACACAGTTTAACTTTGAGACTGTGTGGTTAGGAGGAACCTCGCCTCTAAGGTTTGAGATCTCATCCTCTCGTTGTCTTTTGATTGTCGAGTTCATCCATTTCCTCTCTGTCATATCTGAAATCTCATTCCCTTCCCATTTCTCCTTAAACACACACTGTGAGTGAGTGGCCAGTCCAGGCATTGCTAAATGACTTTACCTGCTCTGACTGAACAAAAGCCTGGCTCTCTAAATGAATGCCTCATTTCCCAGACTGGATGACAGGGATGGATCTGTGGTTCAGAGATTTATTTATACAAGGTGGCTGTTTTAGATTACGGAAACCTGGTGTTGGGTTTGAATTACTAGTAATGAAGCCCTTCCTTCACCAAAGAGCAACTGATATCTGAGAACATTTCGCCTATCAGCAAGGTTTTGCTGAGATAGAAGCCAGCATTAAAGTGAGAGAAAGTTACACTTGCTAGATTATACTCAAACCTCAGTCATGTTCAGTCTGTCTGCATGAGAATGATCGAGAATTTTAATTATCCGTAAAGATAGCCTCTATCATGCAGAACTCTATGTAAGTTACTTGAATGCTTCAACTAGTTTTAGCCCCAAAAGTTATGGGTACACGCACCAGGGACTGCTGCTCCTCTCAGGCTCATTTTGATCCGGATGAAGTGGCTTCTTTTATCTTTTGCTCTGCTTAAAGTAAGCATAGAGCTTTTCTGTCTGGTTGAGTAAGATATGCCGGTTATCTCCCAATTGGCATAATGTCATGATGGAGAAAACAGAAACCGCATGGATGTTGTTTTAAATATGGCTCAGAAGTTCCAGAGAGATTTATTCCACAATATGTCACAATGTTTCCCCAAGAATTGAAACCAAAGCACAGTCCTGACCATGACATACCTTTAGACCAGGGTGCTGGAGGGCCACTTTCCTGCAGAGTTGAGCTTCAACACACCTGCCTGAAAGTTTCTAGTGTTCCTACATACTTTGATTTGTCTGGTTCGTGTGTGTTTAATTGGGGCTATAGGTAAACTCTGCTGGACTCTGGCCCTACAAGAGCGAGCTTTGACACCTCTGCTTTAGACTCACTTGGCGAAGCCACTGAACAAACCTGTTCATTGACTTCCATTTGCCTGTAATCCAGCATCAATATTCAGCCCTCTCAGAGTCCTGCTCTTCCCAAATGGGAATGTGCAGAGCATGGAGGGAGGAGGCAAGGGACGGCATGTGACTTTGGTTCACAGCACGAATGGCCTCCACTTCACTGGCCTCTATTGCCTCTTTAATGGACTCATTTTCTGGCATAGGCTGATTTTGCTCAGCTCAATTAGATCAGCAGCATTTTAATTGGCTTATGCACTGTCAAATGGGATCTATTAAGTGAGCAGCTGTCAGAGCTGAAGACATGCAGATATCAGCAGGAGGGAGAGAGAGAAAGGTGAAGGGGGTAAATACATCAGCTTTTTGAAGCACTTGGGTACAATGAGAATGTCTTGTAAATGAAATGTCCCCATGCCTCCAATCCTCCAATCCTTTTTCGTCCTCTCATGCTTCTCCATCTTCTCCTGCGGGGTTTTGAAGGCACATAAAGAGTCCTACTGAGAGGTTGTAAAGAGATTGATGGAGTAACATAGAGAGTCTATTAAACTCTCGGAAGTCACCCTGCATCAGGTCAGTTAAGGCCAGAGGCTTCAATGCCAGCTGGCTACAGTACGTATCCCCTCCCCGGGATATGCCACACAAGACAGGGATTTGGTGGATTAATCTTCCATATTCATTGTGGTCAATGCGGGTTAAGCAATAGGCTTAATTTCTTCTAAGGGCAAAGATCATAAGTTCATAGTGCACGACCGAAGAGGCTCTGGTGTGGTTTTCAACACTGCGAACAGGGCGAAAGGTTTCCTTGAGAGGTCATGCCAACAGGGATGCAGTAAGGTCAGGGCTTGGTGCAGCATGTGAAAGGGACTCATTATTGTGTCTGAAAGAGCATTGCGGTGTGGGGTTACCCTCATTAGAGCACCTTTACCAGGCATTGCAAAGCATGAGAACTGCCCCGGAGAAATGCACTGATGCAGTTTTATTATTGATGATCCGGGGCCACTCATGTGTGTCCACCTAAGACACAACCGGGTGTTCGCAAAGACTTAATGCCCATGTGCTTGGCTGATTAAAGGGACCGTTCACCTTAAAACTCTGTCATCATTTACTGATCCTCATGTTGTTCCAAACCTGTGAAACCCCATGACTATGAACAACCCCACTGACTTGCACGGTATGAACAAATAGAAGACAATTTTCAAAAGTCATATGGGTTTTTGAAAGACATGAGGGTGAGTAACTGATGACAGACGTTCTATTTTTGGGTGAACTATACCTTTAAACAATTTAGGTGGGAATCAGTGTTTTAGGTTTTGCGTTTGTGCCACAAAAAAAAAAAAAAATCTCTTCTAGCTTGTGAGCCCACAGTGTTCCACAGAGGTCTGGTTTATGATTGCCACATTCCACCAAAGTAATAAGTATTTCATATAATGGTTGCAGAGAAGGAAAAAACAATGTTTTCAATTTTTTGTTCCACAGATGTACATGACATGTTTCATGGTCCAAATAGGAGCACGAGAGAAAAGCTGTATTTGAAAGATTTACACAGTGGCACAGCCACAGGGAAATAAAGAGCCTAGAATGAGGTAATTAAAGGCTCTTTGTCATGTGGAATAACCCCTGTGGTGTTGCTGTAGAGGCGCTAACTCTATTCATCCATCCATTTCATACTCGCGCTATTACTCCACACCGAGA